CATGGGTGCAGATGTTGGGAGACAGGAGGGCACAGATGGGGCTGGGGAGTGCAGTGAAGGGCTGAGGGGTACCATTGAACCCTGTGCACCCCCATGAGGGCCGGGAGGGTTGAACTCTCCCAGGTGTCCACTTGCACACCAGAGTGGGTCCCAGGGCCATGGTCAGAGTGTGGGACCAGAGGCAGCTGCTCTTCATCTGGGTGGACGAAGCAAGGAGAGCAGTGGGTGTTCTGGAAGGAAGGAGTGAGGGCAGCACCGGCTCCCCCAGGCCCTGCAGGTGCATGGGACTGGCACACACAGCGAGGCCTCCTGAGTCTCCCCGTTCTGCCCACCTGGACAGTGTTTCAGGGGCCTTCAGTGAGGGCCGGAGCTTCCTGGGGCCCGACCTCTGAGGGCAGGGGTGCTCCAGGTGTGCTCCCTTCTCATCTCCCGGTCACCCTTGCCCAAGATAAAGGGCTGCCCAGTGTCCTCGACCCCATGAACCACCTCCCATGCCACGTCCTCTATGCTCATGCAGCAAACTCCACCCCATGTCCTCCGTGTCCCTCAATGATGCACACGCCATTCCATGACCTTAACTCCCTCCCCACAGAGGCCACCCTACCCCATGTCATCTGCCCCCACTTCATGCACACACCCCATTCCAGGGGAACCTTTTCTCTTGTCCTGCGTGTACCAAGTTTGAATTGGGATGCGGGTAGAACCTACAAATGAACCCACAGACCTCCCTGCCCTCCCTGAACCTCTCTGCCCCTGACCCCAGACCTCACAGACCTCCTGGGACCTCACTAACCCCATAGCCCTGCCCCCTTGGAGCCCGCTGTCCTCCACCTCCCTGCCCCCTTGGAGCTCACCAACCTCACCTACCTGCCCCCTGTGACCTCACTGACCCCTACCTCCCTGCCCCTTGTGACTGCAGTGACCCTCACCTCCCTGACCCTGTGACTGCAGTGACCCTCACCTCCCTGTCCCCTGTGACCTCATTGACCCATCTCCCTGCCCCCTGTGATCTCACTGACCCATCTCCCTGCCCCCTGTGACCTCACTGATTCCCCCATCTCCCTGACCCTGTGACTGCAGTGACCCTCACCTCCCTGTCCCCTGTAACCCCCTGCCCCTACCTCCCTGCCCCCTGTGACCTCACTGACCCATCTCCCTGCCCCCTGTGACCTCACTGATTCGCCCATCTCCCTGACCCT